ACTGGATTTTGTTTTCTGTTATTTTGCCGATAGTTAGATTCGCTAAATTAAATCCCAGTTAATGAAATTTTAACAATGAAGTATATCATTTTTTTCACAACACTGTTATTTAAAAATGTGCCAAAAACATATTTTCATAAAATACAGAAGCAAAGCACACTTTTTATTTTTACAATAATGAACTTAATCATGCATATTTATGATGAAAATAAATGACAACTTACTTCAGAGTCATCGTCATTTTCATATAGTGTGCTGATGTAATCTCCTAGGGTATCTTTTAAATACTGAAAAAGAAAAAAAAGAATAACTTGAAAGATGAAATAATCTGTATTGTAATAGACCTATTATGTCACTTGAGTGATCACAGTCATGGTTAACTTATCAAAGCAGAAGAATGTAATGAATCGTTTTATGTGAAGTGACCAGAGCTGTAAATTTGAATCTCTTTTCAATTTTGTCAAATAAAAAACATTGCTGAATTATTAAATAATAAAATAGAAGATTATTCTCACCTTATCTCCAACAAGTTTTAAATAGGCTTCCATGGCTTTGGTAGCAATAGAGTTTGCACGGAATACCATGCTATCATTAGCTGAAAAAATAAAAAAAAAAAATAAAAAAAAAAATAAAAAAAAACATCAAGAACAGAACAAATAATATCACAGTTTCTTAGGTAGTATCAATAATAAATATATATACTGCACTTGTTATCAATATTAAAATATTTAAGATTTTATGGAAATAAAATTTCCAAAAAAATATTTATATAAACTTGGCATCTATAAAAATGTTATCCCACAAGACAGCCTACTAGGTCTTGTGTTTAATAATAGATGCATATCTAGAGGAAGCAGCTACAATGTGGATAGAGCACTATAGAATAACCATCAATATTTCATAGTACAGAGAACGCATGAAACTGATACAGGTTACAGGGCAATCATATGTAGTATTAGAATAAATGACATCTTTCATTTATTATATATGCATTTTAGGTTTGGAAAAGCAATCACCATGTCATGCGTACACACACTCGTAACTTACATGTTATTAAAATGCTATTCTTGTATGTGCAATTGTTATAATTTTAATATAAATATTAACATAATCATATGATAATTATTATGATTATAATTGATTCAATTCACATCAAGAGGCTGCAAGAACAGAATAACTAGTACTGGAAGTGGATGAATTACAAGGCTAATTTCAATGAATATCATACTAAGTACTGAAGAATTCCTCACTAAAAATAAAACTACATTTAAATATGGTAATAGCAGGCCATATTGTGGTCTTTTGAATGCTATCATTTTAATCACCACCTGTCTTCAGAGTTCAAATGAGTTTCAGTATCACAGTAAGCCCCATAGCAGTATCTGTCCAAATTCACCAAGTTTACTGTATGACCTTTATGTATGACATTTACACAATGGATGTGAATTCCATATTTAAAAAGATTATGGAGAATAATATAGCTTTAGCAAAATACTTAAAGAGCACAATTTTTAAAACCACAGAAAGTAATTAATTTATTTTTTTCTTTTATTTTACTAACATTTTATTTTTATCTCTTATGTATTGTATGTATTTATGTTCCTTACCATACAAAAACCCTCTGAAGGTTTTTTAGTAGTGTAATAAAGTTATTATTATTTAAACTATAACCCTTACACTGTGACCTATACACTGCAACCCTGACACTTTAAAAGGCCATACAGTGTATAGGTTATACACTGTATGGCCCTTTAAAGTTTATTGACTAAAAATTGGATCTGCATTTTTAATTTGACAGTGAAAAATGTTTGTATAAATATTTAGAAATATATAAACAAGATGACAGCTAAGCTGAAATATCATGAATACAATTTCAGTTTCCATAGTAACAAGAAACGGAAAACAATATGTTAAACCCTGTAAATGCCAACATTATACATTTTTTTTGTACTTTTACAAAGATTATAGTCAAGAGCTGTGACCATCTGGTTGAGAATGAATAATGAAGTTATAGAAAATAAGTGTTTAAATAATTAATTGTTTTTCCTAAAAAATGACAGCTAATGTGATGATTTACTTACCTAGCCTATCTATTTCA